GGATAGGTCAAATCTGGTTGGAGAAGACAGCCTGGAAAATCATTTGGTGCCAAGACATACAGGACAAGTCAAAATAAACACTTTCAATTATATCTAGAAGTCAGTAGGAAGCCAGCATGGGGTCTGAAGCACTGGTGTAATGTACTCAAGGTGCCATTTACCAGTCTGCTACATACTGGACCAACTGTAGTTTCTGAGTGGTCTTCAAAGGCACTCCCATGTAAAGAATTGCAGTAGTCCAAGCAAGGGATGATAAAAGAATAAGTCAACACTGCAAGATTCTCCCACTCCAAATGTTTCCACAAGTGCTTCACCAGCCAGAGCTGGGCCAAAAGTTGGCTGGCCACAACCTCTACCTGTCCAAACAGCAGTTGCATGAGTCCAGGATGACCCCATGTCCGAGACATATTCTCCCATACAGGCCCTCGTAGCCTCCAGACACTGGGAGAAGATACTGACAGCATCTCCTGCATAGTGATGTATCAATAGGTACTACCACTATACGGATAGTTCTATACTACAAACTGATAAATTCATCTATATGGTAAAAAGTTAGGCCCCCACCCTTTCAGCCTTCCAGAAGACCATTAAGGGCTGGCTCTTTTTGTGTTTTGGGTTCATTGTTGGGGCATCTGAAGGGTGCTGGGTTTGGGTTGTGTATTATGTTTTTATGGTTTTTATAATTCAGTTTTTTATTGTTGGGTTTGTATGGCTGCCCAGAGTTGTGTTTTAAAATAGTGGCCATACAAGTCTAATTAATAAATAGCTAGCAAAAGAGGGACACTGAAATCTGAGGCATTACACAAGGCAGCAATCACCTGACTGATCTCACTTCCCCTCTCCCTGAGTGGATCCAACCAGTAAGGAAGGAATGGAATTATTATAAAACAATCTCCAGCAATGGTATCAAAGACTGCTGAGAGGCTGATAAGGACTAGGAACGGTTCACTACCATTGTCCAAGACCTAATAAAGGTCATCCACAAGAACTCTGACTAGAAAGGGTCGAGATAACCTACTTCCTGTAGGGTGTTCCTTAGCTCTGCCTCTTCCAGAGTATTAATGACTTTCCAGAAAAAGGCCAAAGTTGTCATGTAGAGATGGATTCAGGGAGGTCCTCTTAAGCAACATCCCCTCCTGAAGTGACACATTGACAGGAATGACACGGGTCCAGTCCACAAGTGGCTAGTGTCAACCAAGAGAACACCCTATTCAATTCATCAGAATAAACAGACAAAAAAGAATTTCAGATAACATGGCCAGATGATGGCCTAATCACCACATCAGGCCTCAGTCATGTGGAATGAGGACTGTGGAAATCTGAGCAATTTAAATTTAAAAATACAAAGAGAAATGGACAGAGTGGCCAGGCAGTAAATTACCCATTCATCTTTCCCTAAGAGGAACTAGTTATGGACTCCTTTGACTCTGAGGCTGAAGAAGAAAACCCAATGGACTATTAGCGTGCAGTCCAGGAAACATCACTTTCCTCTAATATGGGGATACACTTCCTGTAGCCTGTAAGACCACATTTATCCCAAAGCTTTAGGTATAGCTTATAAAGATTCTCCACATTTTGTCACTAAACTGTAATTTTTAATGTGGACAAAGTGGAAATTATTAAATGCATGACATGTTAATTTTATTTTTACAAAAAATAATTTTAGTTACATTTAATTATTTCTAGTTAAACTCCTTCTTTGTTCTGGCCTCACTTACTGCAAGGGAGAGCAGAATTTGATCTTTGCCTAAGAATGATGTGTACACAAACATGTGCTTTTTGTATGCAAATTTCCTGATTGTATTCATTTTTGAAATGTATTGAAGTTATCTTAAGATGTTCAATTTATTTATTTATTTATATTACTTTGGCTCATGTGCTATTCCATTTCCAAAAACTCCAAGTGGCTTACAATTAAATGGGCAGTACAAAAGATGCCAACCTTTCCTAAAACGCCAAACTAAATTCTTGAAAGGATGTCCTATATCAGTAGTTTCTTTTCAAGAGGCTGACACTGAGAAAGACGTGAGATGGAAATACAGGTAGTCCTTAATGACCATTTCAAGTTATGACAGCATTAAAAATGTAACCCTATGATTGGTCCTTGCACTTATGACCATTGCAGTGTCCCCGTGGTCATATAATTGAGATTCGGGCGCTTCATAGCTGGATTTTGACTAAGAGAGTCAATGGAGAAGCTGGCAGTAAAATCACAAGTCACGGTCACATGATGTCTCACTTAATGACCAGATCACTTTGTGATGGAGTTGCTGGTCCCAATTGTGGAGTTAAATGAAGACTACCTGTAATTCACTCACTCTAGCCAGGGCCCTTTTGCAAGGGTTTCTGGTTTCTACAATGCAAACCTGCAGACCAATACACTTAGCTCATCAAAAACATATTCTTTGGTTTTTGGTTCTAGTAGTAGCAGTTAAATAGTTTTCTGATAAATAAAATTGCAAGAATGCTAGAGTGTGCCAATGCTTGACAACAATGCCATCTTGACTGGCTTCTAGCAACATCTAGAGTCCATTGGAGTTGGGCGGCTAAATAAACAAACAAACAAACAAACAAACATTAACTTCCACTGAGAGCCTTTAGGAAGCTATAGAACAGGATTTGGCATAACCAAATAAATTATAGGCTACTTTTTGGGGGAATTGTAATTACCCTTAAAAATACTGTTTCAATTTGAAAATTGACAAAATAAATTGAATTCATAATATTTACTTTGTTCCCTCATATTTTATTTGTATAGTCATTTTTTCAGTCTGCCAAAACTAAAAAGGAGGAGGAGGAGGAGGAGGAGGAGGAAGAAGAAGAAGAAGAAGAAGAAGAAGAAGAAGAAGAAGAAGAAGAAGAAGAAGAAGAAGAAATAATAATCCTTTTTCACAAGTACCATGAAACTCCATAGTTCAAGAATAGTACAGAAGTAAACCTATGTTTTTCTCCTTATTAGCTGATCCTTGCAGTTTAAAGAAGGCTTCAAAATAATAATGTAGCATTTTGGGGAAAAGATACAAATAAGTAATCCAGCACTGGAGGCCAAGATTGAGAAAATCTCCACAGCAACCATGTATTTTCCCTTGGTGCTCAGATAAGCTGGAACAAAAGATATCCAAACACTGCAAAACACTAACATGCTGAAGGTGATGAATTTTGCTTCATTGAAGCTATCTGGCAACTTCCTGGCTAGGAAAGCCATTATGAAGCTGACCATAGTCAGAAATCCCAAGAAGCCCAGGACACAATAAAACATGGAGATAGAGCCTTCATTGCATTCCACTATGATTCCTTCAGGCAGAGAATGCATGTCAAAATCCTGGAATGGAGGAGAAGTAGAGAGCCATACAGCACAAATACCAGCTTGAATAAGGAAGCAACAAAGAAAAATAGAGTTGGTCATTCTCTTCCCCAACCATTTCCTCATCCTGGATTCTGGCTTGGTCATCTTAAAAGCTATGACCACAGTTACCGTTTTTGCCAAAACACAAGAAATAGCTACTGAGAAGATGATGCCAAAAGAAGATTGTCGTAGATAGCAGGTCACTGTATGAGGCTGGCCAATGAATAACAAGGAAGAAAGGAAGCAGAACAATAAGGAGATCAGTAGGCAGTAGGTCAGGTCTCTATTGTTTGCTTTAACAATGGGGGTGTTCTGGTTTTTAATGAAAATAGCAAGTACCAAAATAGTGCTTGTGGAAAAGAAAAATATCAGGAAAACCAAACTAAGCCCCAAAGGTTCTGTGAAAGAGAGGAAGATTAGGGCCTTGGGAAGGCACTGTTCTTTATTCTTGCTTGGATACTGATTTTCTAGGCACTTGAAACAATCATTCATATCTGAAAAACAGAAGAAATATAATTTCAATCTTTCATTCTATATATAATTTTCTTTCTTGCGTTACATGCTTACATAATGGAGTGGTGAGATAATGTCTAGTATATTTTACTGTGCCCACAAATCACTGTTTTTCTGCTGTTCTTGCAAGTATTGCCTGAGATTAAGAAGATCTGAACTAGTGATTAGTAGAGCAGGGTTGATGGATAGTGAGGGTTTTTTTGGGGGGGGGGGGGAAGTGCTGAGCTTATTAGCTCAGCCTAATGTAATCTGTCTTTGGCTATGTCATCACTCAGCTTGAATACAGTGAATACTTTCAACAATAACAAAGGTTAATGGTGAAGGCCCACTGTTGGTAATTCTGAAAAAGAAATTAAGACATGTCAAGCCAACTAAGGGATTTATGGAGCAACAAGATTTTGTATGAACCCATTTGATTTTTTTTCAGTCCTACACTTCAAGTTTTGAAAGCAAGCAAATTTAATCTGAGTTGAGATTTGATTTAAAAAATGGCTTTTTCCCTTTGATTATATGGGGGAAAGAAAATTCTTACAGTTTTTCTTCATTTTTGGGTGTGTGTGTGTGTGTGTGTGTGTGTGTGTGAATGATGAAAAAAGCAGGGATGATTAACCCTAATGAATATTAACCCTGACAAGTTAGGGCTTGATAGCTTAATGGCTTTCACTGTTTAAAGACAGATGGAGCAGGGATGAAGAAAGGCAGCACACCAAAAAAGAGCCTCTGGATGATGAATTAACACAGAAAGTGCCCTCCTCCAATGCTTTCAGAAACAATGTAGAAAGTAAGTTCTGTTTACTGAAGAAGAACCAATGACTAGCATTTGTGAGGTGGTTCGGTTTGCTGCCTCTGAGTACTGGGTTTCTAAGGGGCAAGAAGGGCTCCCAGAGGTGGTTGGTAAGCTTGGCCTCTCCTGGGAAGATTCCCTTCTTCATTGGCAGGGCTTAGCTGTATCAAAAAACATGGCTTGTTGGCAATACTCTGTATTTCTTAGTAGAAACTACAGAAGGACGCTGCCCAGTGAGGTAACAATACCATAGAGATTAGCTGGACAATGTGAAAGACACTAGCATAGAAAAGTAGCAATTATTGTCTTCACATGCCCCCCTCCTCTAATTTTAGAAATACTATATGTTTAGGCAAGAACATGTAATAATTAGTTTGACATTCATTCATTCAATGTAGAGAGATCGAAACCTGTGTCATTGCCCTAGGAATATATTAAGACCTGATTCTGAAATTCATGCTTGATATGTGAGATTCAGCTTCAGTTTCTGGTTGCTGTTACATGATGTTACACTGGCACTGTTTTCGAGAAAATAGCAATTCTAAGAATGTAGAATTTATTGTCTTTCAGAATTGGTATATGTAGGAAGCTTTTAATAGATGCTTAAGCTGATTAGGAAACTGTTAGTAAAAAGCTACTGATTGAGTAATAAGACACATTAATTCAATAACTGGGAAAATGTGGACACATTGTGTCAAGAGTGGTTTTCAGAAAGTATTGCTTGGTTAAGAGTATGAACTTCAGAATGCACAAAAGAACTTTATACATTAGAATTGTGTAAAAGGATTTATCCATGTTCAAAAAACTCGGTGAAATATAATACATTTGTACATGAAAAGCCATTCTTTGGAGAATATAATAATGTAATTCAAGTTGCTGGCTATGATGTATAAAATATACATGTTATGGGGCCTGGTTATTTGAGGGACCACCTTTCTCCCAGGGTGTCTGCCTGGCTGGTACAAACCTGAATTACATCCAGAAGCAAACTGGCAATCAGGACAGCTCAGGGAGCAAAGGTATCACATGGACATACTGAGGGATATCCATCGCTGCCCACATTGCTGCATTCTAGACCACTTGAAGCTTCTGAGTGGTCTTCAAAGGTAGCCCCATTTAGAGCACATTGCAGTAGCTGAGCTGTGAGGTGACTAGGGCATGAATGACTAGGGCTTCCCAATCCAGAAAAGGTTGCAACTGGCACACCACATGAAGGTATGAAAGTTTGGCCGCAGCTGGCCCCTGCTCATTGAACAGGAACTGTGGGTCCAAGAAGACCCCCAGACTGCAGACCACACTTGAATGAGGAAGTGTAACCCCATCCAAGGTTAAAGATGGATAATGTATACAAGACATTAGTACCTCTGGGAACCAAGCTAAGGAAACTGGAAACAGAGTACCATAGTTCACTCAGAAGGAATGATAGACATAAAATAGTTATATAACAATGAACATTATATTTCTAACCTTCCTGATTTGAAACCTTCCCATTTGGACATGGAACACAATCATAGCAACAAAATGGCTTCCCCTCCTTCTTTTTTCGACTGTATCCTGGATGGCAATGATCATTACACCTAGCTTGAGGAGGTACCTATCCATTAAAAAACAGAAAAAACCTGATGTCTCTTCCTATCATGAAATCATAAGACCATAAAACGTTTTGGTGATAACAGCAGGAAACAGTCAACATGTATATGAAAGGACAATATTTCTTTTAAATTTAATTGCTAGGCTGTATCAAACTCAGTGTAGCAATTTTTCAAAGGTTTGTTTCACCCATGTAAAGGTTTGAAGTTTTCCATCTTATTCTCAAGATTTTTTTCCCAATTTATTTAAATGATTTATTATGGGAAGCAGAGAAAGGGGACTTCTAGTGAGGATTAATGGCAAATCAAATGTCCCTGAAAGAGTGGGGATAGCATTGTGCCAGAGATTGGTGGCCAGATGGTGAACTCTGGCTGGTGCAGTCATTCCAGATAAAGGAGAGATCATGAGATTGCCCACTTGTACTCTGGACAGCTACTCCTCATGAGTAGACTGCAGGAACTGAGGTTTTGGTGGTCAGTTTGTGAGCTGAGTGGCTGGGAGACCAGGGATTTCAATTAAGCTCACAGCCGTAATGCAGCTGATATGGACACAGCCTATAAGGTTCACATGATCCTTGTTTCTTAAACACTTTTGGATGTAATTAATTTACAGCTAAAGAGAGATTTTCTGAGTGGCAGGATAAGAAAATTCCACTTGCTGGGTCAACATTCTTTCTGGATTACAAGGGGGAAAAAAAGGTTTTAAAGATTTAAAAAATTTTGGCAAAAAGCATAACAAGGAGTGGATATAAGAAGGATTGAAACAGATGAATGGGATAGTTATTTTGAAATACTATTTTTTGGTGAAAGTGCTTTTGAACAAATTGGAATTAAAATAGACAAATGAACCCTGGAACGTCATAGGAATGTTTTTTGTTTACTATTAAAGAGTGCAGACAACTGGATTTTACACAAGGTAGTATGAGACAGACTGTGATGCTGACTGTAACTACAGAGTGTCATTTGAGACAAAGTATTAAGAGCACAGAAAGAGAAGAAGAAGAAGAAGAAGAAGAAGAAGAAGAAGAAGAAGAAGAAGAAGAAGAAGCAGCAGCAGTAGTTTGGGTTTTCTTTTTCCCTTGCTTGCAATGCTTTCATTTTCAGATTATAATATTGTAATGGAAACCTCCAGAAAAGGGGCAAAAATAGCAGAGGGGAGGAGAGGATCACTAGAGCAACCTGCAGGCAGAAGGATATATCTAAATTTGTGTGGCAGGGGAAGAAACCACGAGTCAAATATTAGGTGTTACAAGTGCAAGGAAGGAGAGAATTGGGCCTACCTGATTTGAAATTGTATTTTGCAGCTTGCTGTTTAGTTTGGATGAAAGAGTGGGTGCTG